ATCTTTTGGATTAAGAATTAAGGCTTTTTCAAATTATATAATGGCTGACTAGCATTTGTTTAAGTTCTGTAGGCACTTGCCTAAATTATTTTATATAATTTTATTACCTTGTAAATATAATGAAAAAGCATCATTAGGATCTTATCGCAATGCTTTCTCTAATTAATCGAATGCTTCTTTGTATTCACACAGCTAGAATAGGCATTTCCCTTATAAATAAGAATTTCATAAAACCTAAATTTTTTAAACACAAGATGTGATTATTGTCAATTTAAAATGCTAATTTGTATGCATTTATTGCTTCCTCATAAGATCCAATTTATTGTAAACATTCACCTTATTAATGCATAATAATACCTTTAAAGAAATTGCAAAGAAAGTGTTTTGATTTAATTGATATTGCCATTGATAAGTATCGAATAGCCTCTACGTAATCTCCAATACATTTTAAACACTCTCCTATGATTTATAATTATAACAAAACCTTTTATAAATATGCAATTAAAGTTTTTAGGTTTTATTTCCAGAGCCCTATCTAAATATATTATAGCAGTAGTGAATTCCTTGAGTAATAATAGGCATTTGCCTAAGAATTACTTAATATAATCTATACTTTTGAGTTATAGCGAATCAAAATGATTTTGATCAAGTTATAGTGCTTTATCAAAGCACTAAATAGCCTCTTAATACTTATTCATCAATAATAAGCATTTCCCTATATATGGTTTAAACAGTACCTTTTATGGACAAAGTACATACATCATAAGGGTTTATTTACAATGCTAATTCTAATATGGAAAGAGCATTTTCATACAAATTCTTAGATAATAAGCAATCACCTAATTGTTATTGTCTATACCTTTTATTGCCAAGGATGGAACATGTTTTGGATTAATTGATAATGCCAAATCAATGCATTTGATGGCTTCATCAAACTCATTCAACTTTAATAAACATTGACCTATTTTATGTATAATTAGGCTTAATTACCTTTTTCATCAATCACTTTAAGATTTTTCGAATCAAATTGCAAAGCTTTATCAAACCATCGAATTGCCATTTAATATTCTTTATTTAATTTTAGACAAAATCCTAATTGTTTAGTTTACTTGGTACCTTTTTACAAAATACAAAATTCATTTTGGTTATCAATATTTAAAATATTATCTAACTCTTAAATAGCTTTTTAATATTTTTCTAGCTATAATAGAGCATGAACTTGAATTAAAATTGGATATTACATTTTTTCAACAAAATTTCAACATTTTTCGGTTCTATCGCTAACGCCATTTTTAAAGAATCACATGCTTACTTATACTCTTTCAATTCTAATAAACAATCACCTATTTAATCAAGAATATTCAGCACTTTAAATTTTCAAAAATGTAATATTTTTTGGTTAAATCTTAAGGCCTTTTGAAGTACATTCAAGTGTCAATTTATATTCTTTCTTATTTTATAAGCAAATGCCTTCATTAAAGAATCTCAATACATTTATTAATTAACAACTCAATATTTTTTGAATCAAATCTTAATGCGTGATCAAATTATTGCAAAGCCTGGTCACATTTATTTAGTTTTAGTAAACAAATACCTTTGATTCTTAAATTTCTTACCTTTATTCAACAAAATTTCCACATCATTTGGTTAAATATTCTCTACTTATTTAAATTATTGCAAAGCCTCTCCGTATTTTTCGATTATTCTTAACAAAACACCTAAGAATATATACATTTTTACCCTTATCCTTAAGAAGGTCAAAATTTTTTGGGTCGATGCATAAAGCTTTTTCTAATTGTTGCAGGGCTTTAAGATATTCTTTTTATAATTTTAAACATTGACCTAATTATACGAATGAGAAAATACATTTATTTATCAAAGCCTCGATATTCTGAGGTTCAATAGATAAAACAATATCAAGCTACTCAAGTGCTTCTTTGATTTAATTTAGATTTCTTAAACATATACCTAGATTATCATATAATCTAACTTTTATTTAATAACATTTGAATATTTTTAGAATCAATTCTTAACACCAAATTAATTGATTAGCAAGCTTATTAATAATTCTCCATCATCATTAAACATTAACCTAAATTAATATATCTAAAACATTTATTGATTAATATTTCAACATTTTGTGGTTAAAAAGCTAATGCTTTATCAAAATATTGCAAAGCCTCAGAATGCTTCTTGAGTTATATTAAACAATTCCCTATAAATCAACCAATCTTACTACCTTTATTCTTAAATAAATCTATGTTTTTGTTATCATGCGTTATAGCATTATCAAATACTTTAGAAGCTAGATCAAACTTGTTTAACATTTGTAAACAAATGCCTAAATAATAATGAACAACTAACCTTTATTTAATAATACTTCAACATTTTTTGGTTATATTTCTAATGCTCTATCTAAAAATTATATTGCCTTATCAACTTCATTTAGAATCTTTAGACACAAACCTAAATATAAATGTTTAAACACCTTTCATAAATAAAACATCAAAATTTTTGGGTTCTAATTATATGGCTCTATCCAATGTTTTAGAGGCTTGATCATATTTATTTAAAGCCTGTAAACAAAAGCCTAAAATCAAACTTTAATTACATTTATTTAGCATCAAATTCACATTTTCTGGCGAATATTAAAGTGCTTTATCTAAAAGCTCTAAAGCCTAAACATACTATTTCATCATCTTTAAGCAGATACCTAAAATATCGATTTAATTTTCATACTCTTATTCAATAATATTTCAACATTCTTAGGCTCCAATTTTAAGGCTTAATCTAATGGTATACATGCTTAGTCATATTTTTCGAGTTCTCATAAACATAAACCTAAAATCAAAATTTAATTACTTTTGTGAAGCAACAGTTTGATATTCTTATTATCAATTTTAATTGCCTCATTTAAGCAATTCAAAGCCCTATCAAAATTGTTCATCATCTTTAAACATAAACCTAAATAATTTATATTTAATACTTTTATTGAATAAAAGGTCAATATTCTTAGGTTCGTATTTTAATGCGGTATCTATTAGATTTAAGGAACTTTAGTACTTTTCCAATTATATTAAGCATAAACCTAAAACGAATTCTTTTACGAAATACTTTGTTTAAGTATTAATTCTAGATTATTTGGTTGGATCAGCAATGCCTTTTGAAAACTATCTTAAGCAGCTGAATATTTTTCTAAAGATCTTAAACATTCACCTGATATATTATTATCTTACCTCTTTAGCACAAAGACTCGAAATTCTTTGGATCAATTCTTAAAATATGATCGAAGGTGTTAATTGCTTTCTAATAATTTTCATCGCTCATTAACCTTAAACCTAAGCATTTGTTTCAATAACTACCTTTGGAGTACAGTTTATCAACTTCATATTTAGAATTGTCGGGCTATTTCATAATTTTAATTTAATTAATAATGTTGAATTTGGAATTTTATCATAGAATAACAGACTAATATCAAAACTTGATCATTCGAAAATTTTAATCAACATTTTAGTTTATTAAAAAGAAAATGGTTAATCAAAATTATTGAAATTCAATATTTTTAATGTTTAAATCAGGATAAACCTTAGAATTTGCTGTTATCTCTTAGTATTATAGTTTGATAATTCTTTGATTGAGTCATATTATTTAAAAACTAATAACATATGGCAATGTTTACTATTCCAAAGTTATTAACATATCGATATTAAATAAAAAATTGATATTATTTCAAACATGCTCTAATATTATGATATAGAAAGAATTTTGTAAATCAGAAATAATTTTTTGCTCTTTATACTCATTATTTTGTGCTGATAATATAATCTAGAGTCTTAATCTTTCAATTAATCATTTTACTATTAAAGAAGATTATTCAAAAATTAGAAATAAAATTGATATAATCATATAAAGCAATTTAATTACAGTGTAAAATTAATTAATTAAGAGAAAATAAATCTTTGTAGATATTAATTTCCACAATAAAAGTCTTTAATAGAATTACAAAATAAAGGAAGATATGTTATATATTTAGAGCAAAATTATTATTATTAATATTTTAGTAAACGCACTCACTCCTACACGAA